TTAATATGATGATGGATGAATATAAAAAAAAAAAAAAAAACTTTCAGTCTCATAAATAGTACATATTACAATACATTATCTAGACTTTCCATTTTCAAGACTTTCGTATGTTTAGAGATCTACTTGATTTTGATTATTTTTAGAGTTTAAAATTTTATAATTAGATATAAAATTAGTTTTTCATATAATCCTAATATTTTTTTACCCTAAAAATACTTAGAGGTCCGTTTTAATTGGATTGTTTAAAGTTAGCAACATTATAAAAACCGCACCCTATTTTAAGTGATCTAACCATTTCTTCTTTTATTTTAGTGCATATTAAACAGGTGGGATTGAGATGGACACTAGCAAGCCTGGACAAGATAATGATCCGAGATATGCCACGTGGCTACCAATGGATGGTGACGCCAAGATGGACCCACAAGCACATGGGATTCCAGTTCACACCTCTTTATGCTGCTTCACCCACTCACTCATAAACAAACCGAAATACGAGAAAGATCAAATTTTTTCCAAAAATAGAGGGCAAACAAATCCAAAATTCCCATACAACCCTTGGTAGGATAAATTTGGCCGATTTGCCCCTATCCAACTACATCATCCAACTTAAATTTTCTCTACCAAATTAGGAATATAATCATACGGTTTACCGATGGAGTGCTTTATTTAGGTTATTGGTTGGTTTTGGCAACCCATCTGGCCGCGATGACCATTTGTTTTGAGGTGATCTTAAGCTGAATATAAAATGTATCTACAAAATAATTGAAGAGAACTTCAAGCAACATACCGATGGGGTATATCCATCCACAGTTTTTTTTTATTACTATATCGGGTCAAGCGATTCTAAAACCGTCTTATACAATGGAAAAGTAAAAAACATATATTTCGTTAATCACAAATGAACTCACCGCAATATTCTTCCTTTGTATATCAAAGGATCTTCTATAATCTCTCACTATTGTTCTCTGTCAAACCTTGTCTGCATGTAGTGCATGACTTTTTTGCTGGTTCGCTTGTGATCTATTCATAGCCATCTGATGCTTCTGTTTAATAGTTGCAATCCTGTCGAGTAGTTGGGGTAGATTGTGTGTGAGTGTTCGGCTTGTCTAACGATTGAAGTTACACATGACTTCAAACGATCATCACATCCTTGAGTGGGCTTTGGAGTGTTCATCCCTTCTTGAAGGTGGGCTACATTATGCCTTGCGCAGCATGATGTTCTAGAAAATGCAATGCTTTCGTCGGAGTGACTTGAAGAAAAGGGCTTATATTCCTGATTTGTTCCTCGGGCAAGTATAAAAGTTCATCCAGAACGTGTTCACAATTCTCCGGATGCCATGATGAAAATGATGATAGAGGCTATTTTTGTTAATTAATTCTCAAGATGAGTAAAAAGGGGTTTTGTATTCTCTATGCACCAGAGGTACAAGAATTGACATCTTCAGTAAACATAATAACTTGATTTGGGTGTCCACAGGAGCATAATGGAAGGAGTGGATCCACCTGAGAGTCTCATAAAGGATGTAAAGTAATCGGAGAGTCTCGTAAAGAGCGAATCAAGGTCAATGACACAGACTAGGGGTCATTTATAGACATTAACTCTGGCTTTCTTCATAAAAATGCTAAAGTATTAAACTTGGTTTTTGTTGTGTGCAATAATTAATCTGAATCTAATCTTTACCTTGCTTGACCTAAGTAAGAAATGGATTCTCTCAATAGTGTATTAGACAAAGTTTAGGTCATGTTAAAATTATACCTAAAAAACTCCCGGCCCTAAAAAAAGCAGGGCTGGCCCACAAATGTGACAGGAAGGCTAGGCTAGGGGCCCAATTTTGCCCGGCATGACCCTCTTTTTTCTTCGTTTTTTTCCTTCATTTGTTTTTAGCCCCGCTATGCTCGGGACAAGTACTGGCCTAGGCCTGGGCTGCGGCCACTCTATCTTTTGGTAGAACAAGTATGATAATAGCATAACCACTTAAAACCGACATCTTTTTTCTTTATTTTTTTATGTAGTTCAGTAGAGACGACATGCCCCTACCAGTTTTTTAATTTAGTTAGTGGTTTTGAAGTTGCCAATGAAAATGAAAGCCACAATCTCCAATTAAGGTATGAGGTGTGCTATCACCACGACCTCAAACCCTTTCCTAATATTAACCACATAATGTATCAAGCATAGAAATGATTAACAAACCAATCCTATTTATGTACTATTTACTATTGTATGGCTTTGGATCGGCACATGAATGGCAAAAACCTATAATTTTTTTTTTTTCCCCAAGTAATTCTATAATTTTCTTTACGCTGATGAAAAGAAATCTATTGATTTGGTTTACACTATAGATGAAAAGCCTTTGGACAAAGAAGTACAAATCGAGCAAGAAATAGTTCTCGAAATGATGTTGGAATGCTTACTATTTACTGATGCGTGGAAACACCGTACGCTTCAAAGGAAGAAAAATCAAATAAGAAATATTTGTATACATTGAGATTACTTGCCTTTGATACAAGAACCTCACCATTACTTCTAACCATTCCGATGTGAAATTTGATAGTATGGGAGTGTCACAAAGTTCGACATAATTTATTTTCAGGTTTGAACCTGATCAATAGAATATATGCAACCATTTAATTCCATATCTAATTGGTCAAGATTAATTGTGACTATCTTATACCAAAGATAAATGGTCTCATTATATACTTTCTCATAAAATAAACAACACAACCTGTCCATCTCGCTTCATCAAAGGCTATGCCATTTATTTTTTATATAAGGAGGTCACAATCATTATTGTCCATTAGATTTCAAAGCTGGTGGTTGTAAGAATATCATTGGATTGACTCAAACTTCAAAAACCAAAGAAACAAATCTGGAACTTTGTAATGTATTCCAAGCCATCAAAATTAAGAGCTTCGAGTAATTGTGAAATAAATTTAAAAGTTAATCTTTAACGAAGAAAGTTTATATAAGGGAAAAGTTTATATAGAGTTGAGCTTACCTCAAAACTTTTACTACCAGCAAAAGTTGTTTTGATATCCAAATATCTTCAAATTGATCATCTCGACATCAAGATGTATGGATATGAGAAAAAAATAGATTATAAGTTTTGGGAATAGTGTATTTTGTAATGCATTTTGGACCGTCAACTTTCAAGATTTTCAAGTTTTTATAGATATGTTGATCTACACTATTTTTTAAGCTTTAAACTTTATAAATAGATATGAAAATATATTTTAAGGCTATCACAAAGATTTTCAATGGTGAAACCACATTTATCGACATTGTTTGAAGATAGGCTCTATTTGATTGTTTAGATCCTAGGCTCTATATAAACTGCACCCTTTATATCATGTGTGGTTCGCACCTTAAAGGAGGCTATTGTGATGTTGGAAAACTATCAAATCTTGACAATGAGATGTGTGGATATGGGAATTTTTTTTTTCAAGTCAAAGTAGTATATTTTACAACATATTATCTTGACTGTCCATTTTAAAAAATTTTGTAAGTTGATAAATCTAGTTGATATGAACCATTTTTTAGATTTTAAAGTTTTATAATTAAAGATGAAATTAGATTCTTGTGCTATCCTAAAATATTCCGATACAAAATTGACAAAATTAGGAGGTGCGTCTTATTTTGATTGTTTAATGTTATATCCTTATGAAAACCACAACCTTTCTCTAATTGTGGTACAAAGATGCACAATCTCTTTTTATCAAAAGATTCCAAGCTTGCAAGGTCCATTTTGAGCTAAAAGATTACCTGCACAAGTGGAGTATACAATCTATTATTCCCAAATTTTGGGGATGCAATCTCTACGACCCCATGTAATGATCTCAGCAAAAAAAAGTTTACGAAATAAACTATTTATATACTGGAACAAACTAATGCCTCAAGATTGAATATAGAACTTCTGATTTTTTGAAGGGATGGATCTAAGTATCAAAAAAATCAAAATCATCTGGTAATCCTAATATGATTCTCAAAATTTTAGACTAAAAAATTCCTCTTAAATAGGTTTTTGAGCGAGGGAGTAGATGCACAATATGCTCATAATACATGTGCTCCTATTTTAAAACAAGAGTATCTTTAGGAGCTAAAATTTGGAATGTATTTCTTGTGCCTAGTAACAAACTTCAAAATGAAATTATAAATTCGCTCTATGGGCCTCAAAAAAAAATAGAGCACGCATGCTATGCTCATACGGGAGCACACTGTGGATCTACTACCTTGCTCAAAACACTAATTTATGAAGTTTTTTTGTCTAAATTTTGGGAACCACATGATAATTACAAGATAATTATTTTCCAAAGAAAAAAAAATTGAATTTTGAGTTTCATGACACTTCGATCTAGCCTTTCAAAAATTAGACGGTCTCTATTCAATATTGAGGCATTATTTTTTCTAGTAATAGAGAGCCTATTTCAATTTTTCGATCTTTTTTTTTTATTGAGATTAGTTTATAGGTTGTAGAGATTACATACACAAAAGTTTAGTTCTAAAAAGTAACCTTAGAATATGTTTTGCTTAAGAGTGTAGATGGATAGTACACACCCGTTGGGGGTAGCAAATCCTTTTGGCAAAAAATAACCTCTCAAAGCAGCCAAATCTAAGTTAAAAAAAAAACTCAAAAATTTAGTTACAATTTTTTTAGGCTGCCAAATCCGTCTTAAAAAAACTCAAAATCTAAGTTTATTTTTGAAAAAAATCATTGATTATTAAATGGATCTCAATTTTTTTTCAAATTTAGATGAGATCCAATCAAACAACTCTAAATCAATTTTGTAATGTATGAACTCCATAAATAGTATGTGTACAAAAAAATTAAGTTTCAAAAGTTAGAATGGCCACCCACAAACAAGAAAATGATATGCCAGGTTTACAAAAAAAAAAAAGAATATATACATTCTTGTCATTTGAAGAAAAGCTAAGGGTTACTTACGTTTTCAATGTGCGGCAGTTTCGGATTTCCTTTCCAAATTGAAACAATAACTCCTCTCTCTCTCTCTCTCTATCTCTCTCTATTTTTATATGTAATCTTCTCTCTCTCAAATACACAACGGATAACAAAAATCCATTCTTAAAAAATCCTAATTCTTCGTTCCTCGCGCCTAAAGATTAAACAGAGAAAAACACAGAGGTGAGAATCACATAGAAAAGAAGAAAATAAAAGCAGAGAGAAGAGAAGAGGATTACTGTGTTCTGAAATAAGATTGGTTTTTCACCTTTCGTTAGAATCACAAGCGTTCTCTTTATTTGCAGAGAGTTTTGGGAGGCCTCTTTCTTTGTGGGTTATTTTTTCTTTTACTTTTTTTTATTAGTTGTAGTTTTATTGAGGCAATGGAGACCATAAATGAGCACTGGGAAAAAGAAGCGAGCTTTAATGGCGGAAAAGAAGAAGTGAAGGAAAAAGAAAGAGAGGAGGAGGAAGAGGATGATAAGTTTTTGGAAGGAATGGCCGTTTTGGATTTCGATATGCTTTGTGCTACAGTGGCTTTGCAGAGCCAGGGTTTGTACTCGGAGAAAGGGAGGGATTTGAAGGGAGCGGGAGGAGGAGGAGTAGGGTTGCAGCGAATGTGGGAGGGACAGGTCTTTGACTGCTTTGAGGATCGTCGGATCGCCATTGAAACTGGGTGGTCAGTTCCTTTTCTTTCTTTTGTTCTTTATTCGTGATTTTAATTTTTTATTCCGATTTTTTTTTCCCTTTTGATTTGGGTTCTTTTCGTTCTGGTTTTATCTGATGGTTTTGTATATGGTTTGGGATTTTGGGTTAACATATCTTTGTGGATATGAGAAAAGGTGTTGTTATGGTCTCTCTCTCTCTCTCTCTAAAACTTCTTGTTACATTATATGCCTCTTTTGCATAGGATGATTCTACTGTTTCTTTTCTTCTTTTTTTGACCTAGAAATGCGTGTGTATTAATCTATTTCTGTTCAAAAATTTGGTTTCTGTATTTTGTATCTAATTTTTGGAGATTTTTTATTGGGGAGGGTGTTTAATGGTCAAGGTTGCTATCTTGTCCTCTTAATGTTTTTGTGTTTTATTTTTATTTTTATTTCATGATTGAGGGATATGGTGGGTTCAATCTTTTTGGTCTTCTTCTATGTGGTTCAAAGGTACTGCAATGCCCGTATTCTTGTTTCCATTTTTTTTTCTCTTTTGGTTTCCTTTGGATGGAGAAGAGTTATGTGAATTTCAGATCAAATTAATGGCCTTCTCTTTTCCTCTTATTGTCGGAGTGATTGTTTGGGTGATGGATATTATGTATTCAAAATCAAAATGAGTTTTCTTTCTTTAGTGCTTCTGTTAGGATCAAAATGAGAATAATTTACAGCCAAAAAAAAAAGAATAGATTATGTTGGTAGATTTGTGTACTTAGTTTTATAAATTGAGTAAACTTACCATTCAAGATTGAGTAGTCTAATTACCAATATACCCATAGAATGAGTGTAGCTGAGATAATGATGTTGAGATGGATGAGTGGTAAGAAGGGATAGAATTCGCAATGAATACGTTTGGGAGAACTTAGGTGTGGCTCCAATAAGCGACAAGATAAAAAATAGACTTTGGAAGGCCGGTCATATGCCACCCAGACTCAATACAACACCTATTAGGAGGTGTGAGTTAGTTCAAGTGGAAGGCTTAAAAAGGAGCAAGGGGTAGGCCCAAAAGGATATGGTTGGAAGCATGGAAAAAAATATGGGGAGTTATGGCCTCATTGAGGGTATGGCCCGACCCTTGATAGAGCATAATAACGGACACATCCTTGTTGATTTTTATGGCCCGACCCTTGACTGTCACATCCTTTTTTTTTTTTGATGATATTATTTTTTGCCTTATATTTTTTTGAGAAGATTTTGTTGATTTTTTTGCCTTATATTTCCTGTGTGCGAAATGCTATGTTGTTTGATAGTGTTCTTATTCTTTTTCTGGGTTAAAATATAATGTCTTCTTAATATCACTAAAAAATATATGGCATTCATAGTGAGAGGCACTGGAGCGGTTATAAGATGCTTTTTTTTGTTCCTTCATGTTTTCAGTATACTTGAACTCTTAAGAAGAGCTTTGCTAATTTGCAGTAGTTCAACCAGGAAGTCAATTTAAAATCTATTGATTGAAAGTACTTGGCTTGATGGATATTGTTGTATGCAGTTGTCCATGCTCTACATTTGGGAAGAATATGGCGAGAGCTGGTTTCGGATCATGTTTTCTACAGGTAATGCGATCAAGTCCTAAGTTCAATCCCTATTGTTCATTTTTCCCTTTATTGGGTGTTGTACTAAATTGTTCCTTTCTTTTATATTTTAGTCATCTATTTATTTTGGGACATGTAGTCTTTTAAGTTATCGAAAAGGGGTGACTTGACATCTTTTTTACCCTTATTACGCAGTTTGATGACAATGGTTCTTATGTCTCTTGTAATTGAAAACAATAACAAACTTAGCTTTCTGTTCAAGCCAGCGGTTTAAAATCGGCGAGTCGCAATGGACTCGCCCGAGTCGGCACGGGAATCGGTGATCTTGTGCTGATTTTTGTGTTGAGAATCGCCCAGTTCTAGAGTAGAATCACCGGTTTTGAGCAGTGAACCGCCCTCATGACATCATAAACCGGCAGTTCTCGCCAGTATGACGAAACTAGATCTGTTGTGGCTGACGTCACCATGCTCTGCATGTGTGAATACATCTCGCGTGCGTCGCGTGTGTGCAAAAATCTTATGTGCATCGCATGTGGTTCCCATCCCAACATATCGTTTAAAAGAGCTAATGGCTCAATTGTTTATATACCCAAGGTTTGTCCCACCTTTCTTCGATGTGGGACAATTCTCGATGCCCAACGTTAAGATGTTAAGTCAATATATTGATTTATTATAATGTAATATGCTAAATGTGGTGCAGCGGGGATTTCAATACGGTAGGTCTCAGGTTTGAACCTCCATGGCGTTACCTTTTTTCTTTTTGTCAAATGTCATAAAAAATAGTTTTTTTTTTATCAAATAATGTCACAAAAAAAATGTGTTTTATTTTTGTCTTAAATAATATCATAAAAAATAATATCCAGGAAGAAAATAATGTCATAAAAAAAAATAAAGTGGAAGAAAATAATGTCATAAAAAAAAGAAAAAAAAATGTTCTATTTTTATCTTCTCAAAAAAATATAAGGCAAAAAATAATATCATCAAAAAAAAAAAAGGAACAAAAATAATAAATGAAGAAAATAATGTCATAAAAAAAAAATAAAGAGAAAGAAAATAATGTCATAAAAAATGTAAAAAAAAAACGTTTTATTTTTATCTTCCAAAAAAAATAAAAGGAAAATAATAATTTCATCAAAAAAATAAAAGGAAAATAATAAAATCATCAAAAAAATAAAAGGAAAAAATTGAAATAAGAGATAATACAACAAGCATTTTTTGTCAAAAAATAATTTATGTTCTAAAAAAAATAAAAGGAAGAAAATAATGTCATCAAAAAAATAAAAGGAAAAAATAAAATAAAAGATAATACAATAATTCGAGATTTTAGTGGTCAGTTTTTCATCAATTTAATCCATTCTTTATTGTTGTCCATGTATGATTATATATTTTATCAATGATGATTCTATGATTTTTCTTTTATGTAAACATAAGTTCAAACAGGAAAAGAACATCTAAATATTCATAAATTGATAAAAAAATATGAAATGATAATGTAGTACCCTTATTTCTTATTGGATTCCAAAAAAGCAACATTTATAATGAATTTTAATAATTTTTTCGGATTTTTTTTAAGGCTTAATCCGACCGATTCGGCCGATTCCCGATCCGGATTGCCAATTCATGGTTCCGGGTGGGTTTTTGAGGTGCCCGATCCGGGTCACCGATATGTTTTTTAAGCCACTGGTTCAAGCAAATAATCCTACGCTGAGTGTACGATCATACTGTGTACAAGCATACTATCATGGTTTCTTAATGTGGCTCCTGTCTTCATGGATGAACTAGTTTGCATGTGTGATTTTGGAGTTTGCAAGCTTCATAGGTGGATAATAGCAATTTTAAGTCAGATTGACGTGGAACTCTCCTTTCTTTCTCAATTGTAACGGGCAAACCATGGATTTAGTTTTCTTTATTTAATCTTGAACAACTTCCATTTAATGCGTATTTATCTTGGGGTTTCATTCTAACTGCTTCATGGTGAGCTTTGAATGATGATAATGGTCATAGCTTCAGATATGAGGTTTCTTAGAGCATTGAGGAGAACTTCAATTGCTTAGTGGTTTGAAAGAGTACCGCACTAGACTTGAATTTTCCTTGAAACTATGGTTCATTTAATGAGATGCATGATATTTCATGAAAATTTCTTAGGTTTTTTATGAGTGGTTAAATTACTAGTTTGTGCAGATCTGGTGAGACTTTTTCTTAGAAGGTTTATGGAATTCAAAATTTCAGTGGCCTAATGATTTTCCATGTTACCTGTAGTTAGTTCAATTTTGTCACTGATGCCTACTCATGGTAGAGCTTATTCTGGATATTTATGATGGGGAGATCTCTGCAAAATACGATAATTTTATTTGAGTTACTATTGAGAGTGATACTATACTAGTTTTTCATTGCTACAATGTTGTTTCCACTTAGTCAAGTAGTTATTCTTTTCCTTGTTCAGGGAGGCATTCATCTTTTGATTGTGATGATTGCTCTGGTCTGCTTCATTGCCTATGCTGTAACAAGTCAGATATGTTTTCTATACGTGGCTGGTGCTTTCACCATTTCTGTAGGGTTATACTTGGGATATTTCCGAATACAGATCAGAAAGCGTTTCAACATTAGTGTAAGTTCATCAATCCTTTGAGCTTCTCATTACTTGAATATGTTCCTTGTTCTTTTAGCATTTCTGATGTGAACATGTTTTCTATTGAATGTTTCATTTCATTAGAGAGCAACGAATCGAATGTGAAATGTGAAAAGTGAAATTATTTCTATTCAATACTGAATGATAAACCATGCTAGTAAATAAATATTATTATTCATCTCTAAAACTTTAATCGAGGTATATATTGTCAGTTGTTAGTGATATCCCTTGTTTTTTTCCCTTTTTTCGTAGGCTAAGTGGGTTTGGAAACATGCTTAGAATGATACCGCAGACATAACCCCCCTTCAGCGAGGTGCCATGGCATCACAGAACTGGCAATTTTATGATGCCTGGATATTTTCATAACCTGGACCAATCAAATGGAGTCCGTATCCCATGCTGCTATCTGCAATGGGGGCTCTCAGAGGAGGACATCTGCCTTTCCTTTCTCCGCCGCTGCAGAGGGTTCGATTGACTAAGAGAACGAGATGAATGCCAAGGTCTAGGGACTAAGATCTTGATGCATCTCCATCTTAATATTTCATTAAAATGTAAAATCGCCAACTCATGTCTACCCTTGTCGACAGCCATATCATTGGCATCATAGCCTGCAGTTTCTGTGGATGCCGTTGCATGGATGTGTCATTTGATGCAAGAATCATACTTCTGATGCGTCTGGATTGTTATGAAATGGAAGTTATTATCTCTTTAAACTATCCCATTATTATGAAAATCTTAGACTTTGGAATTTTATTAGTGGGAGTTTTGAGTTTAAGTACATTAGAAATATTCAACAGATCTCAATTGGGGATTGCATTCTCACAATGCATTGAAGGATGGGTATCGGAACTGGAATTTGAGACCCATAACTCTCGATGGTTTCTTTTCCACAATACGAAAAAAGTGAAGTAATTAAAGTTAAATGATCTCCATATGGTCATCTTGTCAACGAATTTCATTCTTTGTCAGCCTACAGTGCTTCCCTATGCAAACCACAGATATTTCACATTTAGAGCAGGTTTTATATTCACCAGAAAATTAAAGCAAACAAATTTGAACTTTGCAACCACAGTTGCAAGAGTTAGCTTGCTTCTAGGTTTCAAAACCTAACATAGGTAAAGAACATTGTTGAAACTTGTAACATTTTCTCTTCTGGATTGCTTGTTTAGCCTTTTCCCAATCATTGTAAGATTGTCATAGAAGATCTAAAAGAAGATAGATGTTTTGACAATTTTGAACAGTTTTTAAGGTAGTTTGCACTTTATCAGACATTAGTTTAAGTTAAGAATGTTATGTTGAGGGAAGCAGAGGAATTCTTGTCTTCTGTTTTTATTCTGAACAGCTGCTTTTATGCGCATGTGAATTAGTTTGCAGTCTGAATGTTTTTCTCATGTCCTATGTTGCATCTGTGGCAGTGATGCATGGACTAGTAGTGGTCATGAATTTCCTGTTGAAAACATGGTGTAATTGATTCCAAAGCTGTTTTCGGCAGCTTTGATAAGATTTGGCATGATGAGTTCAGTAGTTAAGCTACATGGGCTTTTTTAAATTATAAAGCTATACCCTCAAATTATTATTAATATTATTATTTTTCTCATTTAAATGTTGATATTGAGATTCGTGCGACACGAAATAAAATTTGGCCATCTTATGTATGCATTTAGTTTTTAAGTTCATCATCATCATCATTATCATCATCCAAGCCTTATCCCAACTACCTGGGGTGGCCTACACAAATCTTGTTTTGCCATTACGCTCTATCAAGGCCCATACTCTTAGTCAGACTATAATCACCGATCCTTTTTTTTATTTTTTATTTTAGTTCTTCATTTTTTTGAAAAAGGTTGTTTTCTTTGTTTTCATATTGGTCATATTTTATTTTCTTGTGATGTTTTTCTTGAATTTGTTTCCCATGTTGTTTACATGAATTATATGTTTGCAGGGTACTGATGGTGCCATGGAGGATTGTGTGAACCATCTTCTTTGTCATTGCTGCACATTATGCCAGGTTAACTAGCTGGACCCCTTTTTAAAATATTAAAATCCAACTTAACATTTTATATTGCTTGATTGATCTCTTGTATAAAGATGGAAAGTGGGGTCGCACAATGAAACCAAAACAAGGCTCTGAGGAGCTTTACCCAGTTCTACCAAAGGGAAAAAATAGTTAAGATGAATTTGAAAGATGAGCCTTAGGGCGGTCGCACCATTGACCCCATTTACTAGCCTGCCATAAAATGGGAGAAATTAGTCATCCAAACAAGGTGCATATCGACACCGGTGTTGGTAGTTTGTATGTATCCATTACTATATATCCAAGTGTTTAGTACGTGGGGTGAAAAACCCAGTACTTCCTCAACATGTTCGTACAAGTGTGTAAGATAACATAAATATATGATACAATATCATATATATTTTATATATGGGTGTGGACTGTGTAAGGTTGCAACCTTAAATAATCAAATTAAGGCCCACCTATAAATTTTATTTTAAGATGTAATTTTGGTGTACAAAATTCTTAGGATAGCTAGAGAATCTATTTTAATTTCTAATTATAAAATTTTAAACTCCAAAAATGTTTCAAATTAAGTAGTTCTATAAATATGAAAATCACGAAAATGGATGGTCTAGATAATATGTTGCAAGATGCACTATTTTTTGGATTAAAAATTTCTTCTTTTTTTATTTATTAATATTCATACATCTCAATGTTGATATGATCAATTAGAGGGTTTTCCAACACCAAAATAGCTTTTTCTGATGGATTTTTTATGTGCACCTTGATTCTACTTTTTTAAGTGTGTGTGTGTTTGTTTATTTAGTATCCTATTACAGTCCTATGAAGCTGTGATAGTGCTACACACTGGTACATCATAGCTAAATGGTATAAGGTTCAAATCCTATTGGGAATAGTTTTTGATATTATAGAAGCTCTTATCCCGCATGGCCTACAAGATTTGAGTCCTTGAAAACCCCCATATGGTGTACAAGAGATAAACCCTTGAAAACCTCCTTGTGGCTTAAAAGCTTGAATTCCTTGAATATTGGGCCTGAAAAAAAAACAAAACAATGAGTAGCGATCAAATCTTAGATAGAATGGCAATCAACATGCCATTCTACCTGGTAAACTGTCAATACTTTTATGATATAAGATAATAAGTTATTATATAATAGACATTAGAGGAAAGCATCGACACCATATTAAAATCTAATGACATCTTTGATATGTATGGGCAAGGGTCCAAAAACTTGTCAGACTGTGGACATGGTCAAAGTGTCTACACACGGCACCAAAGAAAATCTCAAGTGTCAAGTTAATACTGGTTTGTAGGGTACTGATGGTGCCATGGAGGATTGTGTGAACCATTTTGTTGTCCTTGCTGCACATTATGTTAGATTAATTAACTGAACACTCTTTCTAAAATATTAAAAATCTAATTAAAACTTTTTTATTGCTTGCTTTATGCATCTGCTCCAAGAAAATTGGTGATCTCGAGTCAAAATAGCAAGTGGGGTTGCACCATGAAACCCAAACAAAGCTCCATGAAACTTTACACAGTTCTACCAAAGGGAAAAATGGTTTAAGATGGGTATTAAAGAAAAGCCTGAGTAGGGTTGCACCATTGACGTCATGTACTAGCAGGCCAAAAAATGGCTCTCTCTCTCTCTCTCTCTATATATATATATATATATCCATCCCTCACTTTTTCTCACACGCACGCACACACACATAGAGACATGGATACACACTCCTAGGCAGATAGAGAGAAGTCAATTTTCTCGCAATCCATTCCCTATTTTCTCTCTGAGAGGTTTATTATATTTTTTCCTGCCTCAGAGATTACCCATCACAAAATTATCTTTTGTTGCTAGGTTCCCTACTAGTATGGCTTTTTCTGTCACATAGGCTCCCCACTGGATGGAGTTAGAAACGGTTAATGTGTACTTATTGTTTATGGCTTTGGATTTGCAGGAGTCTCGGACATTAGAGATGAACAATGTTCGAGATGGTGTATGGCATGGCCGCAGCGACACCATATGCATTGGAGGGAGTCAAAGAGAAGGTAGTAACAAACCTTTTTTTGAGCTGCAAAACCCCAAAGAATGCAGCATGGAAAGACCTGGCAACAAAACTGACGAAAATCACTCTTGGAACGAAGGTTCCAACCACTCAGAGCCCTTAATGGCTGCCCAATAGTAGAGGAGTCTAGGTTTTCCATGTAGCCCAAAGAAGAGTAGGGTTGCTTTCCCCCCTTCAAATATTTGAAACCTCAAGGGGGTGTTGGCATGCCCATCACTGTCTATATTTTTATATGAGTACTTGGAAGGTCCTTTTTTTCTTTTCTTTGTAACATTAATATGTGTCAATTTTTTCAGCTTTTAGTGAAATGAATCTGGGCTTCTTTTGAGCTTTGGATAATGTAGTGATCTTCTGTAAAATTCTGAGGGAATTTATAGTATACATGGTAGCATTTGCTGTGCCATACACAGGCAGGGCATTAACCGCCCATGTTACTGTTCATCTCCACCATCTGTCTTGAAACTGTATGGTCGATGCTCTGTTCATGTATCTTAAGACATACATGTCTATAGTATACTTTTGCATAGGTTAAAGTGTATTATGATAGAGTAGCATACTGCTCTTTGTATTACTGTAACATTGCTTTCAGCTGTCAGGCAACAGATGGCTGATTTGAACCTTTTTTTCCCTCTCAAGTGGGCTTGGTGGACTTTGGTGGAGAAGTGGCGGATTGTTAATGTTACCTATAGCATTAACAGTGTGTCATTAATGACATGGTATATAAACATTGCCGAATATTGGTACCTTGGTAAATATTTTACTTAATTTTATGCAAGTTAGTTTATGATATCGATGATGTTTGTTTGTGTTTACTTTATGCATCTTTTTCGCCTTAATAATATTTGTATTATGAGATTTGTTTGTAAGCCAACTGTTGTATAGGTATCAACAAAAAATAAGCTATGATGAGAGGAATTGAGGTTGTTGCAGGAACCCGATCTCCACTTGGGAGGTCCATGACGAACGGTGACAATTATCTGTGACTTCCACTTGTTTTGTGGCCAATGTTGACTGTTACCAATGATACAATCTCTATCATAGTTGCCACCTGAATATGGGGATGAGGGTCCTACATGTTTAATTTACGATCTGGTCTCGTGATATTTCCCAAAAGCAAAACATGGATAACAGGCTTTCTTTTTGTGATTTATTCCTATTGGCTTAAAATTTATGGAAGATCTTTCCAAATTTTCGTAGTCCTTTTTACTCTTAACATTGGCATGATAATGGTAACATGGATATATTGTTACAAACCTCAAGTGCCATATCTGTTAGCTCATAAAATATGAATAACATACAGCTTCTAGTGGCGGTATTTATTTGATTCACATTTATGTCATCCTTTAGGGGTGCTTTAGAGTACTAATTAGTTTTGAATTTTATTATTTAATGGCATGAGTGTGCTAATTAATTGTATTGTACTGTTTTAATGAGTTCAAAGCTTCAAAGAACTTCCTCCAAGGGAAAGCCCTTGTTGTCGGAACCTTGTTTCAAAGAACTTCCTCAAAGGGAAGGCCCTTGTTGTGGTAACCTTCTGGTTGGGGTTTTGGTGACAATCATAGTTATTGTGATTTTCTTGTCGAGGAAATTTACCGTGATATTATTGGCAGGGACTATTTTGTTGGGTATTGACCACAATTTGATCGAACATATATTGGAATAATATTGTATTATTTCTTATGGAATAATATAAAATTGTTATTGTGCTTTCGTATTTAGATGTTTCAATGAAAATTTGATTATGCTCTAAATTTCTTTTCCAAAAGGTTATGGATTTTCAAGTTATTTCTTAAATATTGAATGATTACCTTTCAAAATTCAAAATTTTAATAAAGTTCTCCAAATACTTTACCAAAAAATGGAAATGTCCGGTCTCAAAACTACTTGCACAAAACTCATACGTCACTAATTAAAGGGTGTGGTTTGCATAAGGTTGTAACCTTAAACAATCCAATCGAGGCGTACCTCTAAATTTTATCATAAATATAATTTTTATATAAAAATCTTTAGGATGACTTGAGAATCTATTTTCATTTTTAATTATAAAATTTTAAACTCTAAGAATGGTGCAAATCAAGTAGATTTATAAACACATGAAAATCTTGAAAATGGACAGTCTAGTTAATGTGTTGCAATATACATTATTTCATCAACTCGAAATCTCCTTTTCTTGTCACATTCATGCGTCTCAATATCGAGATGATCAATTAGAGGGTTTTCCAACATCCAAACAACCTTTTATCATTGATTTTTGATGTGCATTTTTAATTCTACATTTTAAGGTTGCAACTTTATATAAACCTTTTCTCTAATTAAAAGGTTATCATTTAGTTGAGATTTTTCATAATTTAATTTTGAGAATGCTTTCCATCATGATTCTGTACGATTTTTATTGAGGAATATCAAGGAAGGCCATATCACTGTACTAAGCCGGTTTCTATAATCAGGGCAGTGGAGTACGGACATTTTGAGTTCTATTCTTATCATGTCCTAAATAATATTAAAAATTAATTTTTGAGACAACATCTTATATTGTCATGATAATTTCAGATATGGTATCATGCTAGAACTTTGGGCAGTCAAGAAACAACAAACTGTAAAATGAACATAGCAGAGATGGTGTTGGGCTAGAATGTTAGGCGATCAAAAAGCAACAAACTGTAAGATGAGTGTAGCTGAGATGAGGATGCTAAGATGGATAAGTGACAAGACATTAAAAGAAAAAATTCAAAATGAATACTTACAAGAGAATTTAGGTATGGCTTCAATAGGCGATAAGATGAGGGAAAGTAAATTAAGGTAGATTGGCCTTGTACAACATAGTCCTAATGCAACACTAGTTAGGAAGTGTGATTTGGTTCAAGTGGAAGGCTCTAAAAGAATAAAAGGAAAGCCCAAAAGGATAGAAGTAATGAGAAAAAATATGGTAACCTTTAGTCTTTTTGAAGGTATGACCATTATGGAGAAAAATAGAAAAATACGATTTATATAGTCGATCCCAAATAGTTGAGATAGGGCAGGAATGATGATGGCAATAATGTAGTGGACCTGATCCCAACTAAACGTATATATTAGATAAAAAACATGGAAAAACGGGTACCAATTAATGTAATTGCAAGATTTCATAAGCTTGTAAGTAATATCCTATACCGATGTTTACTAATAAGGCTCGGGTATTACCATCCACCACTTCTCTCTTGCTGTCGGGCGTAAAATACTTACTGCTTCATGGTTTTTTGAAAACAAAAAGTAAAGCTTTAAGGCACTTTGAGCATCAGGAATTTCTAATATGGCTCATAAAATCATTTTCCAACACCGGTTATAAAATTTAGAGTTAAAAAATTTACAGAGCTTGTGGATATGTGAACACTAACTTTTAGGGCGAATTGGACAGTCTGGATAATGCATTACATTATATAAGTATTTTTAGGGTTTAAAATCGTAAATTTCACAACTATAATGGTGAAGGTCGAGATGATCGATTTGAAAGTTTTTCGATAAATTTTGAGTTGAAACTTTATTTATTTTGATAGGCTTGGGGCCTTATCAAAATATTTTCTTGATATGAAATGCCATTACTTCCATATAAATTACATACTTATATCTATATCTATAGATGTATATAAAGTTGGTATCTATGTGTCAAGTTAGAATGGGTAAAAACCTCACTTTTAAAATCACGCCAGTCAATAATATATTCACAATTATCCGATTTCACATCTAATGTCAATAACGATTGTGACTTCTTTATACCCAAATTAAATGGTCTCATGATTTTATTATTCACAGTTCCACAAAGCTATATAATGTGACTACAAACTTCACCTTATTGCATGCTCGCTGTGCTATACACTTCATCCTAAAGATATTATATTTGGGATTTCTAGAATAAAAAATTCATTTTATTCATTTATTTATAAAAATACTCAAAATGGTGATTCAAGACTAGTTCCCTAAGTTTTTTATTTTGAAAATACTTCTAGACATGTCTTTTCTTGAGTAAGTATACAATATACACCCATGGGCTCATGTTATATTGGAGCATGATTTTCAACTGTTTGCAAAATCGAACCGAAATGTTTAACCGGACATGGGCTCGAAAGCGATTTAACTAGCCTAACAGGTAAACTGGCCAAGTCCCGTAAAGTGTTAAAAAAATAAAAAAGATACAAAAAAAATTCTATTAAAATATGAAAAGCATATAAAGAATGTGATTAAACAAAACACACTTAAATGAAATTGAAAATTAAAGAAAAAATGGATTTTAACGAATTGATTTGTGCCTAAGGGTATTTTTAAAATTTTCTGAAAAAGATGGGAAAATATAAAATTATCATTGACCAAAAATTTTTTAATCTTTACCATAATGTAAAGAATATTAAAATAGTGTTAAAAAAATCAACTTGACCAACTCTTTTTAAAAAAAAATATGAAAAGAAATTTAAGGTACATATAATATAGGCCCTTCTTTTAATCAACCAAATAGTAAATGGGGTATTGGTTTGTGGGTCTAATAATAGAGGAGAAATAGATTTGACCAACTCTTTTTTTTAAAAAAAATGAAAAAAAAAGTAAGTTATATATAATAGACAGGCACTTCTTTTAAAAACACATGATAACCTAAAAGAGGGAGCAAAATTCAAACCATGATCCATATACAATGTAACTATCAACAATAACCAATAAACTATTTATGTAACTATCAACACTAACCAATAAACTATTATAAGTTTGAAGTAATATTATATGTAAAGTTAAATGAACAATAACTTAACGTTTAGTTTGAAGTCATATTATATCTAAAGTTAAATGAACGATAACTCAACGTTTAGTTTGAAGTCACAGTATATCTAAAGTTAAATGAACGATAACTTAACACTCACAGCAAGAACCATGATTCAAGTACAATAGAACCGTTAAGGCTACCCAATGAACTAATATACTTGATATAAGTTTGAAGTAATATTATATCTAAAGTTTAAAAATATTGGTTGACCACCAAAATCGCTCAAAATCAAAAGCGGTCATTGGCAGGTTCCGATCTAACTGGGCGGTTACCGGTTAGATCGACCGATTTTGCGAACACTGATTTTGACAGAGAATACGCTTAAAGACCTTACAAAAACCATGAGGCATGAACCTTGACATTCCGGTAATTAACCTTTTTATAAGTGGCACTTTTGTACATAGCTTTTGTCAAGGGTTCCTGGAAGATAAGGTATCACAATTGTGAATACATATTGAGCCAAATATTGGCATTTGTGGAAATTAAATTGTTTCAAGAGATTTTCTATCCATATTTGTCTGAATCACCCCATGGCGTTTATCTAAAAAAGGTGGTGGCTTTTGATGGGCTCCTTGCTCATTCAGTCTTACTAAAAGAGAGAAATTTTAGAAGATCAGTTTCTGACCTCGCCATTACCTTGTCAAGAAAACTATGTTTCCCAAGTCCTAGTAATTATTTAGGTCTTTTTTACTCAAGAATCTGAGCCTCTCTAATCTTAAGCGGTATTTGATTACTCGGGCGAGCCAGCTCCGACTTTGCTAAGTCCGACTTTGCCAAGTATCCCCGAGTTTGGTGGCCCAAATCGGGATCTTAAAAAGAAATAATAAAATATTCAAAAATTAAAAAATTATTTGGAATGTATTTTTTTTAATGTTTTCTATAATTTTGACAAAGTTTGGAAAGTGTTTTTGGTTCTAAATACTTATTTTAATTATTTCTAAATACCCCCTCCATAAACTAATTTTTTCAAAATCTATTTTTTCACTGCTTTTTTAACCGAACTTG